AGTACAGTAACATCTGTTTAGTTATCTTGGACAAGAATAAAATTTAGTCATAACCAGTTGTATCTGGAACACACAGGCAATATCCCCCCTCTAGACATTATTCTTAAACGTAGAGTCTAAAATCTAAATCAAAATCTGAAACAGTGATTTGTTTTTAAAGAATCAAGATTTCTTCTAACAGGCTCAAAGGTTTTAGCACTAGTGTCTATAATTGGCTTTATTTCTAGGCATGTAACAAGCTTCCAAATAAAAAAATGGCATGAAACAATATTAAATTAGGTGCATATGCTTTCAGTTTCAAAACAAGAGGCAAAAACTACACAGCGCACAATACAACTGACACTTTATTCCTTCGTGATGGGGATATATAGTATTGAAACTGCAAGAGTCAAAGAAAAAAAATCAAAGTGCAAACCTCTATCAGAACAGATTATGGAATGTATTGTTTTTGGCACAAAAAGTGGGGAACTATATACTGCAACAAGATTATAAGTTTAATGAAAAGTAACACGTCTGTGTTCAGTAGTCATATTGCAGAACAATACAATGTAAAACAGTGACTAACACGATTCACATGCAACTCTATACAAGTTACATCATACGTCCAGTTAAAACTTTTCTGAAAATACATGTGAGGTCCAATGATACTTTGTTTACAATCACTTAATAAATACCATTCTTTAAGCAGTCTTACCTTTTCAGCTTCCTTATTGATAAAAGCAAAAAGAGAGAATCTTAAATAGTAAATTATTTTTCCAAATGGTTCCACGTGAATGTTGATGTTTTCTATCAAAGTAATTTGGCTGACTTCATTGATATAATGCATAAGAAGCTGAATGAAATCAAAAGCTCATTTTTTCCCATATTTCATCCCCAATCTGCTGCAAACAAACAGCATTCTGTGCACTGACTTTTTGTTTTTAAAACTGGACATGGCCTATGAGCTCTGTACCTATCACATGGAAATCACCCAAAAAACCCAGAGCATAGCTTCATACAGTGGCATCTATTTAAGACTGAAAAGGAGTATATTAGCATGGAAAAGACAAAAATGCAGAAATAGAAGAATTCAAGTTTATCTTATAAGGTACAGTATGCATTCACATTTTCATTGCAGAGAGAGACACTGTATTCACATTCTGGTGAAGAAAGAAACCCACATATCACAGCTCTTCCTAAACTCACAGTAAAGATAACATCTGTAAAAGGACTATAATGCACACTGTAGCTCCTTTATTTGAATTGAGCTAAAGTGATTGCTCAAAGGGGAAAAAAACTACCTTTGATGAGTAATTCAAGCCCCACTGCTGAGCTATTAGCCACAAGACCTTCTGCACTGGCCTCTATGTCATATAGCCTGACAGTTGTTATCAAGTGTTTTATGTGGGCAGCTATTAGTGTTCAGTGTCTCATCTCCTTTTTTGGTTTGGGATTTTATTTTATTATTTATATTAATCAAGGATGATGATTTCTATCAGGCATCTGAGAAATGTCCTGGTGACAAGATGTGCAGGATGCCCATTAGATGCATATGTATCACAGCAGAAATGTCCTCACAACTGAATTCTTCATTTGGGCAACAGAAAAAACAGCAAGAACAAAATGCATTTGGCATGATTTTAGTTCTTAGTACCTTACTGAAAATGCACAAATTAAAGTGCTTTTAATGTTTTTGCTTTATAATGCCATAATAAAGAATAACACTAAAAGCAGAGAGGTGAGGGCAATCCCACTAACCAGCTTCAGTAAGTTCTGGCATCAGGCTAAGATGTAATTTAGAGCATATGTGTTAGGAGGCTATGACACCTACTGAGACCAACAGAGAAAGCAGGTGTGACTTAGAGCACCTAAATTCTGTGCCTGGAGTTAGACAGTTTGAATACAAATTTGAAATCATCAACTGAGGGAATTCACATCCCTCAGCCACTCCCTTGCTCTTTCTGTATATCAAAATGCAGCCGCAAAGGCAAGGAAATGTAAATGGAAATAGGTGAAAGACCAACCTCTCAGTCAATGGAGATGTTTCTCAGCTCCCAGATCCCAGCTCCCCCTCTCCCTCCCTTGGGGAGCCAGGGAAATTCATTGTCACCTATTCTATTGCTTTCAGGGACACAAGATATCGACAATGTCCACCACCAATGTTTCTCTCTTCTGGAGTAATCCTAAAGAAGAGGAGGCACCCTTGACACTCCCTGAAGCTATAGCTCCTGTTGACAGTCATCTTTGCAGCTCAAAAGAAGTCACTCAATGACAAAGTGGACGCCTCAGTTTCTCCTCTGTCCTGGCACCTACTCAAGGAAGGACTGAGTTTACAATAGTCCACCATGGGTTGGGATACTTTGGAGTGAACAGCAAAGAGGGAGGAGTGTGGAAAAAGACGACTGAAGTACGAGAACTGACAGAACAGAAGGCAAAATCACTTGGGGTTAAAAAAGAAAAGTGTTCATCATGTCATAAACTAGAAATGAGAGTCTGAGGAAGAGACAGGTGAAAGGTGAGAGAAGGTGGTGGAAAAAAAAACCCCAACAGGACATTTAAGAAATAAATTGAATAGAAATCCCACAGCCTAATGCTGTCCCCAGTGTAGCTGGATGCTCTGGCTCCTTAGCAAGAGGGAAGAGGAACTGAAGGACATGGATGGGGGCCAGGCCCCAGGAGGTGCACAGACAGATCAGGGGGGATTTTGTTCTGGCTTTGTCTGACAGCTCTCACAGCTGCATAGGTTTTTTAAGAGTATAGCTTGCCTCTAGAAGGTCACAGTTAAATACTACGGGTTACTTTTGGCACAAAATCTTTGTTTAATGTCAGGTTATTTTAAAATGCAAGATGTTTTATCAGATATTTAAAAAGCACTAAGGGAAGGTAGGAAGAGAGATTCCCCACTGCAATGTTTACATCTTTAGAGCCTGATCACCTGGGTCAGGCTTAAATGATGGCACATGGTGTGGTGGACCAATATGCAGTTTCTGTCTTAAACACAGTTCCGAGGAACTCACACCTTTTTCTTGGCACAAAAGCTTGAACATGCCTCAATACGGGGTGGACCCCAGAAAAGACCGAGATAAGGTGCCTTTGCCTGGTTGAATACCAGGAGGAGACACCACGAGGTGCCACTGCCTGATTGAATCAGCCTGCACAATGACCAGGAGGAGACACCAAGGCCTGCAGAGGTGCCATTCCCTGACTGAACCAGCCTGTTGCATATGCATGCAGACAGATTGTGGGACTCGGACTGTATAAAAAGGACACCATCAGAAGCAAAAAGGGGGACCCCCACCACCAAGGAGCATCAAGAGGACCAATGGGACACCGCTGGATCCACGGGTGGTGATATCTTCTTTGCTGTCTTTCTCTCCCCCCCTCTCTTTGTCGAAGTGTAAAAGATGTACTGTAGGGGACTTGTTTGTTTAGTTGAATTACTTAGAGTAGTTGCCATTGAGTAATTTATGTAACCTCATGCCTTGCATTTTGTATTATTAAATTGTTAAATTGGTTGACTGGTGTCCTTTCACCTTAATTCAGTCCAGGGGGAATCATGAACTTGGTCGTTGGTCTCACAGGGAAGGAGGTAGTCCTAAACGACTCCTTTCGGGCTGCGACACATGGGAATGGAGGAGACCAAGGGGAAACATTAGGAGAACCCTTTGGGACAGCACTCAGCCACAAAAACAGCACTTGCTTTGGCTGGCTAGAGACTTCCTTTGGGACATGCTCTCTTTTCCACATATATTGTATTCGCTCGTCATTGCTCTCCCCCCCATGGTACCTTGTGTCATCACAACATACAGTGTGCTCACAAAGCACCAGATGTATTCTGGTAGCTGCCAGGAGGTTTCCTCCTCATTAGCCGCTGAGCTGAAGTGAGAGATACGCTGAGGAGTCCCTACAGATACAAATACTCATGTTTCCTCCCTTATGACTGCACAAAAAAGCATGCAGGTTTCCACAGGATATGCAGGTGTGCGCTCGGTTAATACTGTCTGCTTTCCTGGAGACCACATTGCCTTGGCCCCCTCTACTCACTTCCTACTGTACCTTAGCAAGATGCCACAAGTGGTTCAGGAAAGGGGAGGAGATGCCTAGGAAGCTGATAACATGTTCAGACTATTCATCAGTCTCTAGAGAGTTCCCACTACTGTCTCTGTTTGGGAATTTCTCCATCCTTAGTTTACAAGTGGTTTAACAAGAAGCATGTGAATACAATGGGGTATGCTTCACTTTACTGTGGTAAAAAAAAGTATGACTCAGTGGGTAAACATGTTGTGGAATTTGCTACAAAAATTATATTTGTTTTAACTGAATACCACAGTACATATTCATGCAATCAAAAAAAATAAGATGGTTATTGTTCCAAGGAAAACTGCCTCAAGGACAGATAAAGTACAAATGCCAATCTTTCAGGAAAAAATAGCTTCCCTTATTCATGAGCATAATCCAGGAATAGCTGTCCTTCAACTCCTTCTATCACCCTTTGCTTTTGAATTGTGCTAGAAAGTGGACTCCAAAAGAGGAGAAAACAGAAAGGAGAGATAGAAATAAATAAAGAAGTAAACAAAGAAAATTAGAAAACCCCATATTTTAGATTACTTCTGTAGGTTTAACTTTTCCAAAAGCATCTCAGTCTTTCATTTTTGTGGTCTGGGTGCTCCCTGGGATCTGGTCTTTTTAAAAACTCCTCTTCCATTCTCACCAAATTGAAAGTCACAGCATTAAGCAGCAAACTGGGACCTGAACTTGCAAGATGTACCTTTTGTGTGTGCCCTGCTATCTCTTTTTCTGTCATTTGAGTTTCTGAGGCAGACATCACCCCTGAACGCTCCTGTCGGAGGAAGCTTTTTCTGAAGTCGCTACCTGGCGCCTGAAACCAATTTCAGCCACAACTCTGCCCAGCAGCAGCAACGTGATACGTCTGAGACTTTGAGCACAGTCCACTGCCCACTCTTCCAGCTAGTGTACGGAAAGCTTCCCTACCACACAAGATACCAAGTTCGTGAGCCCACTGAGTTTTCTTCAGTCCCTCCAATACCTTGCATCGCTGAAAGTAAAGAGGACTGAGGAAGGAAAAAAAGATGCAGAGCAAGGAAGCAAGAGAAAAAAGTCAGGAGAAGGGAACAGTGTAAAGACAGAGGTACTTGAAATGTTGAGAATTAGTTGGCTTTCATAAAATTTTCACACAGATATGTTAAATCACTAAAGCTAGAGGTTAGCCATTATAATTGTCTTCTGCTAGCCCATGGGACTAACATACTTCAGAGTTATGTGCCCCCAACAAACCATACATCCACCTTAAATACCATTTGCAAGGACATAAAAATACACAAAGCAAAAAATTTGTAAACAAGGGTTAGTAGCACAGTGGTACAGTAGATTGTCAATAAAAACAATAAAAGTGTGGATACAGATTTGTCTACCTTGTGTGTAACATTATTGCCAGTTACAAGGGAGGGACTCTGTAAACTCATAATTCTGAAGTTTTGTTAATAAGCACAGAGCAACAGGTGAGTGCCCCGTCTACTTTCTCCAGTTCTGTGTTGGCTATTGGGATCAGCATGTGGTCCTTCAGTTTTTCAAAAACCTGTTTAGGAAAGAAAATGGAACAGAAATCATTACATTTTACACCTGTTTTCCCTTTTCTTTAAGTATTTACAGAAGAAACAGGTGTGGATTTCAGCAGGTGCTAAGCAACAAAAACATTTACAGTATTGTAACTTGTAAACATTTACAGTATACATGGCCTTCTGGCTATGGGATTCATGCACATCAATACTGCAGTGAGGGGAACTGTTGCTGTTTCCCATTATGCAGACACAGCACCAGGGGCAGAAGAGACAAAGTAATTAAAACAGTAGTGGAGATGAGAAGGGAGCCCAGGCCTCCCACCTTTCACCATCTGATACTTCCATGACAGGATACAACAGGTCATTCTGGAAAGCACCCAATTTCAATTCCCACCGACTTCCCAGCAAGGCTGGGACACTGGGGGTCTCCCAGCCACCCTCAGCACGGCTCTCACCTTCGCACTCTCCGGGTACTCCTCAGGGGCTCGGTGCAGCAAGACATGGCCTTTGCCGGGAATGTTTAAGTAGATGCAGTTTGCTGCAGCATCATCAGGCACCGTCAGCTTGTCATAGCGGTGGTCGCTCATCTGTTGCATGGTCTGCCAGAAGACACAAAGCACAGCTATTTAGACCAAACACATTAGCAGCCCCAAACAAATGGGAGAACAGAGGCTTCAAAAAGTAGCTAATTACAATTGCCAAGTCAGCCAAGAGCCATTTTGCTATGCAGCAAATCTCTGCCCTTCAAAGAAGAATCTACCAACCCTAACTGAAAACCTTTGTAAAATAGTTCCTGCAAGCGGCAGGATTAACCAGTGCACTTGGTAAGGACCAGACCTCATGGACAATGCTTAAGAAATGTGCATTGAGTATGCAAAACTCTCGTTTGCATTGATGGAAACTGTAGGTGTTCAGCACCTTCAAAGAAAGCAGCCATCATTCAATATTTATAAATGACCATGAATTAACACCAACAGGACAGGAACCATTCCCAGTTTGGATATCAGCCCAATCCTAATTCTTTTCAAGGATCTCCTTTCTGCTTTCCAAGCAGTTACTCTTTCACTAAGCACCTGTGCCGGGGATCGAGAAGGCATGTCTGCGCTAATCCTCGTTCCCCAGGGGACAACACAATAACCTGCTCAGAACAGTAGAGCTGGTGGGTTTCAGAGGTTTCATTTATAAATATAGGGCTCATACACAAATTTGGATCCTGGCTGGAATTTCAGAGACAGAGACTCCCAGCACACAAGAAGCCTGAGATCCCATGTTTTGGATCAGACTCAACTTTTTAATAAAGATGGGAAAAGCCTGGAGACACCACGCCTGACGCCCCGTTGTACCGTTCCAGCTTTACATCGGCTTCACCCCGATAGAGACCGAGAATAATGTTGAAGGGAACAAAGGTCAGTCAAAGACTTTGGGCCTGCTGAAAGCCTAAGAAAAGGCAGGAGTTTCAGTTTCTTTTCTAGTCCCCCATTCTCACATGGATTGCAACAATGCAAACAGGAAGAAAAGGCTTTTTTTTTCCAGCTTAAAAATACTCACACTAATATTATCTTAATAAACTGATATTCTGTTAACAAATTTTTTTTTTTTGACTAAATTCTCTTCTCAGGGAAACCCCACAGATCTGCATTGCATAGCAGAGAGCAGACTTTGATTTGAGGCACAGTTAAGTTTATAATTGAATTATTTACAAGGTCATTCATTTGTACTACTTCTCATTCATAGAAAGACTATATAGAACTGAATTATAAGGAGGATCTACAATGTATCGGGAAGCAACAAAGCAACTCATGCTTGCACACACCTACAGTAATTCCCTTATAGGTCTGGATACATTTTCCATGTTGTATCCTGAGTCATCCACATCCTGTGGAGAACATGAAACTCACAACGAAGAATGCCATGCATTCTTGAGGAAGTGTTATCAGACTGTCATTTCTTGTTTCTTCTGAAGTTATGAAACTCAGAGGAGTTCCCAAGATCACATCTACCTCCATAAAAGGTTAATGTGTTTTTCTGGGGAAAAATTCTTGCACCTTTACTTCACCGCATGTATTTTTATTACTGTGCTTACCCTGGTTGACTTTCCTATTTATAATTTTGTTTGTCCCACAGATCTGCATTGCATAGCAGAGAGCAGACTTTGATTTGAGGCACAGTTAAGTTTATAATTGAATTATTTACAAGGTCATTCATTTGTACTACTTCTCATTCATAGAAAGACTATATAGAACTGAATTATAAGGAGGATCTACAATGTATCGGGAAGCAACAAAGCAACTCATGCTTGCACACACCTACAGTAATTCCCTTATAGGTCTGGATACATTTTTCATGTTGTATCCTGAGTCATCCACATCCTGTGGAGAACATGAAACTCACAACGAAGAATGCCATGCATTCTTGAGGAAGTGTTATCAGACTGTCATTTCTTGTTTCTTCTGAAGTTATGAAACTCAGAGGAGTTCCCAAGATCACATCTACCTCCATAAAAGGTTAATGTGTTTTTCTGGGGAAAAATTCTTGCACCTTTACTTCACCGCATGTATTTTTATTACTGTGCTTACCCTGGTTGACTTTCCTATTTATAATTTTGTTTGTTATGTTGCCAAGATGTATTTTACGATGCTTTCCTTTATCTTGCGGACATCTAGCAGCAGGTGACATGCTTGCACCCAGCGCAACTCTTCTCCCCGGCAATCAGAGACAGCAGACTCGTCCTCTACCTGCAGCTTCCCTTTTCTTCCCTACATTATCTTTTTAAGTCTGGATTAAGGAAACATATTTATTAAATCTGCACTGAAATACACGTATCAGTAGATGAAAAGCCACCACGCCTGGATTTTGCTCAGCTCCCAGTTGTGCCTCCTTCAGTCCTTGTTGGAAACCGAATCCCGACATTGTAGGTTTTCTGTAGGAACAGCTCATTCATCAGAAATACGGTGTGAATCACTGTGAAACATTTCCATATGAAGTTATGAATGAATTCTTAAGCAGAAGGGTACGGACACATCTCCCATTCATTTGCAGCTGCAAAATGCTGATGTGAGAACAGCAGCAGCAGCCAGCAGAAGTGAAGAACAAGCGGCAGGGCTCTAGCTGTGCCAGCACGAGGCACAAACCAGCTTCGGGAAGCCTAGGAGGTGATGGCAAGGGCACGTTAGGAGGATTGTTTTCCAGGTGAAAAAGCACAGAAGTGGTGGCTGAATTAATTCAGAAACAAATGAGAAAAAATGAGCGGGGAAGTGAGATGAAGCAGCACAGGAGTTTGAGCGCACAGCTGTGACGGGATCTCAGCTAGCTCAAACACCACTGCAAGAAACCGCTTACTAGTAACCGGAGGTTTGACAAGATTACTCCCTCCCTTGGCTCTTAAGACAAGAAGGAAATCGTATTTGCAAGCTTTCATCGCTGTTACACCTATGCCTGCATGTTGAAGAAAAATTTCAAAAACCACTTTCTTGAAAGAGTGCCCAGGCAATAACACCCCCCCAAACCTGCCCCATAGGGAGGCTCTGGATGCAGCACAAATGCACCAATATGATGCTATCGGGTAATTTTAAAGACCCATGGCATTTTCCATATTTGTTATGTAAAGTCATTGCGCACATGTGCCTGGCCAGATAGGACTCTACGGCAGAGAAAGCGATAAAAGCAAGATTTTATCTTGCTTTATCTTTGATTGTGTTTTCTATCAGACACACCCCAAAAATACGGGGCTTTTTTGGAAATTACAAGTTTACAAAGACTATAGCACTTGTACAATGAGTTTGTGGAGAGCTGGCTTGCTGCCCATAAACATTGTATGACCAGCTATGTTAAGAGCCAGGCATTTCCCATATGCCTAGTTTTTCTGGGAATTTTCTTCAGCCTGAAAAGGGTAATTTTCATTGCACATTCTCTCAGCCCTTAGTCATGCTTTCCTTATGTTGAAGTCATTCACATAGCCTAAAATGCCTTTTCTATAGTTTTTTTACAGTGTGTCCTCAGACAACTGAGGTAATGGATAAGCTAAATAATCCTAAATATGAAGCCGCATTATGCATGAAGGAAAAATGTGCACGTTTAGGGTCTATTATCACTGACAGAGTTAAGATGACCACATGCGCTTCTAAACCAGGCCAAGGCCAGTTACAGATCTTCCCCCTCCATAAGGAAGGCCCCTGTCTGAGCCCTGCTGGCATCTGGGACCAACTCACATCCAGATTGCAACGGGACAGACAGCGACCAGACCCACCACACCTGCAATGCACCTTTTTATCTCCAACACCCCACAAGCAAAACCAAACATGCACTGAATGTTTCTCTTGCTAACAAGGCAATGAACACTGCACTTAAAAATGCCTGTGTCATGTTGGCAGAGAAGCAGAAACACAGATTTTCAGGGTCTGATTTTTGTTTTGATTAGCCCCTGCTCATCTAGCCCCCAATGTTTAGAAGAAAACCCAAACCTAAGCCCAAGTCCAATGCATGTAACCCTTCACCTCACCAGATTTCAGCTACCTTGTCCTAAGTCCTTCAAGTCTCACTATTATTAAAAGAAAACTATTTACTTAAAACTATTTAAGATACTTTTTCCATCCCATCTCTTTTTTTCTTTCCAAGCACATTAGAGTTTGGCCTGTTTTACAATGACTATTAACATTTGCCCTGGAGTACAGAGCAAATTGGAAGATTTTAATCCAAGAGATTGTAAATTGGGAGAAGAAGATAAAACTACATCAAGACTTTGCCTGCAATGATGAAAAGTAAGTCTTTTGTGGTGCAGGGCCATTAACACTGATGAGAATAACAACTCAGGAATATGCAGTCAGATCTTCCCAGGTTGGCTGGGAGTTTGGAGGACAAAGTGCTTCTCTTCTGCTTGGAGGAAGGACCACTTCTCTGAGAAGAATGGCAGGCTTATGCCCTTACACATTTAAGGCAAAAGATGAGGACAGGCATCTGGCCAGTACATTGCCATCTGGAGGACTGAGAAAGGTAAATTATTACTTGTAACCTGGAAAATACTGCTGATTACCACACCTGCCATTTTTTAATGCTTGCAGAACTTAGAAGAGCTTTTTTAGTGCTACACGATGTTGGGCCCCAGCCCCATGTCAGAGATGACAATATCCCACTTCTGGATCTTAAGACAGGGACTGGAGGCTACCAAGATTTGGTGTGGGGTTCCCAGGAACCTCAACTCATCAATTGTCACACAGAGTGATACCACCTACAGCACTGCCTCAGGAGTCAGTCCAGTTGGCTTCTGAACCTGTAGCAAGGTAGCTTCAGAGTTAAGACACATACTATAGGAGGAAGCATTTCTTTCCCTTTCATGCCCCTTGCCCTGGTTCTTGCACTGGAAGAGACAATGAACAATTGATCCCCAGTCACCTTTTCCACATCATTCCTGATTTTACAGGCATCTATCATCCCATCTTAGACATCTCTTTTTCAGGTTATAGTCATAGCTTGCTCAGTTCATCTCCTTGGGCAAGCTGTTCCAGGTATCTGTCCATCCTTATTGCACTTTTCTGAATCTTTCCAGTTCTGCTCTATCCTTTTTGGAATGACGGGATCACGCATGCAAAGTACACACAACAGC